ATGCTGCGGCTGCTCCAGCAGGCAGGCTCACTAACACAGAGATTTATGTGGGTCACCGGCTTTCCCCATCAGCCCATTTCCACAGCTTATTATCAGAGAGATGGGAGTCATTATCCTGCTTTGCTTACTGAAGCCTTCACTCTCAAGATTTCTGTTGTACTTTATTAATCCTAGAGCTGAAAAGTGAGTTAGGGGAGCACTGGTGGGTAAGGAGAAAAGAACACCATACAGTAACTGCTGATCTCAGTTGAGTTGGGTAGGGACAGGGGCATGTGTAGGAATACACAGGCCAGGAAGGAGATATGTGGTTCTTCCTTACGCTGGGAATGCATCCTTAGATTAATAGTGGGTATTAGTAGGGGAGGGCGGAGTAGCTGTAACATTATGTGGAAAGCAAGTGGGAGAACTATGAAAAAAATGATCCTGTACGTGGAAAAGAACAGGAAGAAGGAAATGGGCATTGCCTAGAGTTGGTTCTTGATGGTTAAGCCCAGCTTTTATTTATTCGACAGGTCTGCAGATGTAGACTTCTAGTATTTTCTCAAAGGATCAGAAGAATTGTATTCAAAAGGGACCCAAAGACTTTGGAACTTGAAGTCTGAAGAGTAGGAAGATTTCTTCCCAGGGGCTGATACTTCTGGAATTTCTGCCATGGAAACTCAGTATTTGTTTAGCATCAATCCTATGAGATGTTTAGGAAAAAAAGATGTGTCCCAATAAATTCTGAAAATGCTGCAGGCGAGAACATTATACAATATGATAGCCATGTCTCTGTAATCCTATAGGGTGAAGGAAACGATTTAATTTTGTTTAACCTTGAGCCACTTAAGTGTATTTGAATACAGCGTCATTTAAGTTTTGAGACAAACGTCTACTAATCCCAAACAACTGGCATTCCATGGCTCTGACATTGGGAAATGCTACCCCTTGGTGAACTCCGCCAGTGGAAGTGATTGGTTTGGCGGTGTTTTGCTGCACGATTGCGGTGTCTGATCAGGGTCTGTGTGAGTGGGATTTTATTGCTCTCTAGATCCCAGGAAAGACGTGTACACAGATTTATATTTGATTTTTGATAAATCAAGCAAGGGCATCCTGAAACTCCAAACTCCAGGTATAACCCAAAAATTAATGAAATAAAAATAAAGTGACTATAATCAGTTGTGCAACAGCTGGCAAGATATACAAGCCCACTTTCAAATCTCCCATTGGGGAGACACAGAAGTTAGAGGAAGAAAATACAGTAGCAAGTGGCTAGAGATGGGCAGTTTGCCTAAATTAATGCCTCCACCTGGAGAGAGAGAAGCCATAATGAAGGCTGTTTTAGGCTGTGTTCTTTAGAACAGAGAGCCTGAGTCAAACATGCTAACATTTGACTGAAAAGTGCAGTCCTAAGGTGGCCAGAATGAGGGCTACAAAAGAGGAAGCAGGAAAGGAGGGAAAGGAAATACAAACTCTCGTGTGTTACTGAGTTTGCCACAGCCTTACAAGAAGACCAACAGTGAGCTGTTTGGTCCCATGGGAAATCTTTGGAGGAAAGGTAAGGAACACTGTTGGAAGATCTTGGAACAGTCCTTTGAAAAAGCAGAGGTGAAGAAGAACTTATCTGCTGACTCCTTCCAGCCTCTTGCTTCTTATCATTTAGAGACTCACCGTTGAGGCAGCTGCAGGGAAAGCCAGAGCCTCCAGCTGGGTTAGATGTAGGCAGTGGAGCTGCTGAACCTCACACCTCAGTGGGCATGCTGGAGGCCATGCCACAGCCCAGCTCCTGCTCTGTGGGGTGGCCGAGATGGCTGGCAGTGTTAGAGGATAAAGTGATGGCAGTGGTAGCATCTGAGATGACAGTGAGCAAGCAAATGAGGTCCAGGGGCAGGTGGGGCCAAGCAAATCTGGAGAGAAAATAAGTGGAGTCTAGTATAAGGACTATCTTGAGAAATAGAAACAGACATAATCCCTTGGAGGGAGAATGCAGTAAGTTACTTTTTTCCAATGTCAGATTTGAGGACCTAGGCATGATGATAGAGGATGGACAAGTTAGGGCAGACAGTCAGAAAGCCAACCTGTTACCAGTCCGACATTATCTTCTGACATTTGGCAGGAGCCATATCAATGCAGTGAAGGACACACTTGAGCCACTTTCCTATGTTCACCCCAAGTAGCAGCTCCATCTGGGGACGATCTCCAGCCTGGCCCAGGAGATGCTGGGGACCCTAATGTTTTAGGGGTTAGTTTTGCCTGTTCTTGCATTCAGACTATGGCAAGTTTATTTTGGTTGAACTTTGGCTCATCTACTCCCAGAGACTAATACCTCCTTTGTATGGAAACCCTCCTTCACTTTGTGGGCTCCAGACGGACAGTTGGCAGGCCTGGCCCAGCTGGAAGGCCATCTAGAGTTACATATTTATAGAGGCTCACAAAGATTGTTTTCCTCAAGCTTCTCAAATGTTTTGCAACTGAAAAAGGAAAGGAAAAAAAAAAAGAAGAAAAGGAAAAAAAGCAAAACAACCCCTCCCCTTCTACCACATAACTTGGGCAAGGACCTGGGGTGGCTTCTGAGTTTCTGGTCTACAAGGACAGAGCATCCCCTCCTTCTGGGAGGTATAGCACTTAACAGGATGTTTTAGAACCATGGGGCAGAGTGAGGCTGAGTGGAAATCAGAGGTCTGTGTCTGGGCATGAGGCTTAGGGGTTGGGCTGGTTTGAACATCAAGTTCATCTCAAGTTGCCATTTTTACCCTGTAAGCTGCTATCGGGGTCAGGGTGGTTACATAACTTTCCTAAGGTCACAAGGCAGCACGCAAGACATTGGCTCTAAGTCAGGCATGCCTGAGTCCAAATCCATTTGAATCTCTTCCTTACCTCACGGGGTAATGCCTCCCTTCAAGGCTCCTAGGCTTGACAGGTAGTGATGATCGAAGGGCCTTCAATTCCCTGCAGAGCAATCGCCTAGTACTGTCCTCAGAGATGAACATGATTAAATTACAATAAATTTAGAACCTGGGAAACTTGGACATCCATCAAGACTTCCCACATTGACATCCTCTCCTTATCCCCTTCAGGGACTGGCTCTCCTCTGCTGCTAGAAAAAGTCCTGCTGAAGTTCTGCCTCTGGGTTAGGGCTGGGCTTCCTTTTGGCCTGGTGAAGTTTCTGATTTGTTCCTGGGTGTGGCCTCTGTTCATTGCAGTGGTCATTGTGGCCATCCCCCAGCTTCTGAGCACTGGGATTCCTAAAGGAAGGCCACAGTAGAAGAAAAGAGTCTTTCCTGTTTTTGTTCTAGTTTGTAATTTTGAGATTCATCAAAGTGCCATTTATTAATGCATTTGTTTATAAGTACAACATAAGAAAAAAATTGGTTTAATTTTGACTTTGTTTAGAAGAATCTTCTAGACAACTTACGTCACCACTTAAAATCAGGACCATTTTTAGCATGATTGTTATTACAACTCAGAGAAAAAAGATTCTAGAACCAAAGTTCCCTAAGAAGGCCTGAATTCCCTAAACATACAAGAGTTATGCGAGAAATATATGTGTCCCTTGGCATTTCTTAGATGCTGTTTTATTTCAAAGGCAGAAGGAGCTTACTTCTTCTTTATAAAGACCAGTACAACTCTCTTTGGATGGAAATATATTCACTAATAAAACCTTAAATCTGGGAAGGATCTTTGCAAGCATACAGGCCAGTGATTTTCAAATATATTTCATGAAAACCTGGGGCCTCATGAAGGAGTTTCAGGGATACTGCAACATTTATTTTATCCACATTTTATTCTAAAAATATGTAAACCACTTTAAAAGTTCTAATAAAAGCAACATGTATTAGACACCACACTTTAATGTATTTGAGAATTCCAAAAAGTTAACTTGGGTTGCCAGGTGGTTAGGCACTGTTAGTTACTATAAAAAAATTACACAATGGTTTCAGTAAAATAATAGAACAAAGCCTAAAATTGGTGTTATTGAATGCTGGACAACTCTCCTTCAAGCAGAGACATGGAGTCCCCGACTTATTCCTTCTTACGGCTCCACCATCTTCCACTCAAGACTTTCAAGTTGTCTGTGTTCCTCTGCATTGAGGCAACAGAAAGGAAAGGAACATGAGAGATTGGGTGTCCAAGGCTCTTTGGGTGCAGCGCACATCCAGCACTTGATCTTAGCCAAAAGACCGAGAAGCGATGCAGCGCACATCCTTCCTTTCACATGCTATTGGCTAGAAATCTGTCACATGGCCTCATCTAACTTTAAGGGACTCTAGGAAATGTTGTCCACCTGTCTGAGAAGAAGGGAAAGAACTGGGCTTGGAAAACAGCTAACCTGTCTCTGCTTTACTTTAGAGTTATCTCTCCTAGGCACGTACTTACATACTTGGAAATCAGATCTGTTGATCTTAGGAATAACCATTTTTTTTTCTGAGATGGGGTCCTGCTCTGTTGCCCAGACTGGAGTGCAGTGTCATGATCCTGGCTCACTGCAGTCTCAACCTTCTGGGCTCAAGCGATCCTCCCACAGCAACTTCCCGAGTAGCTGTGACCAGAGGTGCAAGCCACTGTGCCCAGCTAATCTTTTAAATTTTTTGTAGATATAGGGTCTCACTATGTTGCCTAGGCTGGTTTTAAACTCCTGGCCTCAAGTGATCCTCTCATCCTGGCCTCCCAAAGTGCTGGGATTACTGGTACGAGTTACCATGCCCAGCCTGAATAATCATTCTTAAACCATTTATCTGTGTGAATCTGAATTTTGAGACTGTATGATTAAGGTGTCAGATTAATAAAAGATGTCAGCTTTTATTCATAGTTCTGGACGTGATATTTTTGTATTCATGAAAACAGCCTCATTTGTCTCATTGCTCATGTAAATATCAAATAAATCTTATATGTTTGAACTTAAGAAATGTTTTTGCTCATAAAATGCTACTTTTCATATGCTCTATAAATTATGAAGTTTTACTGCTAAAAAGCCTTGAAAAAAAAAAACACTAATCAAGTGCAATGTCCTTATCTTATAGGAAATTGAGGCACAGAGAGAATAGGACACTCGCCCATGGTCCTGGTCATACACTGATAAAGAAACAGCTGGTACTTGAATTCAGACTTCCAGACTCTTAGGTAAGTGTTTTTTCTTCCATTTCAACTTGTTCCCGGCCTTCATGGCCCTCATAACTCAGATGTTTTTCAGCCCATTTTCACTTTCTCAATCTTCAAGGGAGAGAACAGCTGAAGGGTGAGGGTTGTTAAATCTGTCATGAGATTTAATGTCTCACATTTTTGGTCCAGCTGCTTCATGAATCAGTATTCAACCAGCACTTATTGACCATTTATTATATGCCACACGTGATGCTGGGAGCTGACGATGCAGTGATGCAATCAGCATCTTTCCAGAAGGATCTTGTAGTCCAGCAGAGGAGCCAGATAATCAATACACCATGGAACAAAAGTAGAAATGTATATATTTGCAAATAGGTACTATGAAGGAAATAAGAAAAGGAGGAAATGGAGAAAAACTAGGTAAGGTGCCCTCCTTCAGTTGAAGAGATTAGGAGCCAATGAAGTCCTTGGCTTGGTTCTGGACACATTCCAGGCTTGGGCGTGTGAACAAGCCATGGTCCTGGAAGTAATGGCATCTTTCCCCTGTGAACATTACCAGTGAGATTCTTGGCCTGAGAATGTAGGTCCTCAGTGTTTTTGTGGCATAAGCAGCATAAAACTGTCGGAGGTTGCAGAATGTGCACAGATGTTGAAATAAGTATAAATAATTAAAAGATGAAAGTAAGTCAAGCTTCCTCCAAGAACTAAATAAGGAAAGAGTTTTCCCCGATGGCTGAAGAAGTAGCTAAGTGAAATATCAAAGACAAATAGCTTTTCCATTTTCTTAAAGGAGGAGGTTATGAAAAAATTTTATTAAATATTAATTGACATACTTGCTGCGTTTCCCTTCTATCTGAGTTTTTGTATCTGCAACCTGTTCTGGCATCTTCCTATGAAGACAGATGAGGCAAGACTATGCAGGTGGTGGGTACTGAGATGGATACAGACTAGGGAGCAGTGGGCATAGATGGAAGTGTGTATGTGGTGTGTATGTTGGGCTGCACGTCCAGGAGGTCATGATGGGCATCCTTATGAGCTTCTCAGAAAGGGGACGATGTGCTGGGGGGGATCATGCAATACCTTAGAATGACAGGGTCCTAGATGAGAAAGGGGTCTTAAAGAGCACCTATGGGTTCAATCTTCCTCCCACCCTGCCTTGTTTTCTATGCAAGAAGACTGACACCAGTGAGAGAAAATGAAGCACTCAGGCATGCACAGCGAGACGGTGATTGGAGCCAAGACCAGATCTCAGCACTCTCATTTCTACCCCAGACCTGCTCCAAGACTCTATGAGCCTTCATTGAGAAGCATGGGAGTAGGGATTAGTCTAATTGAAAAAAGAATTCAGGTCGAGTGCAGTGGCTCACGCCTGTAATCCCACCACTTTGGGAGGCTGAGGTGGGCAGATCACATGAGGCCAGGAGTTTGAGACCAGCCTGGCCAACATGATGAAACCCTGTCTCTACTAACAAAAAATAATACAAAAATTATTCAGGCATGGTGGTGCACCTCTGTAATCCAGCTACTCAGGAGGCTGAGACATGAGAATCACTTGAACTCAGGAGGCAGAGGTTGCAGTGAGCCGAGATTGGGCCACTGCACTCCAGTCTGGGTGACAGAGTGAGTGAGAGTGTCTCAAAAAAAAAAGAAGAGAATTTGATTCCAGAACAGAAGGCCTTATCTTCCCCCTGCTTTGGAAGCCAGAGTGATGTGGCTAACACAGAAAAGAGATGAGGACTGGAAATGTACAGCCCGATGTGGCAACTGTAGCCTTGTGGCTACAGACAGCATGAGATCAGATGGAGGATGGGGTGAATGAGGCAATTGTCTTCCAACATCTCAAGTTGAAATTAAGTTCCTGGCGAGAACCATATATGCACTCATATTTTACGGGTACAATGATACTTTTATTTATTTTAGTGAGATTTTCTTTTTCTTTCCTTCTCTGAAAACATTTGAGTAAGTTTGTATAAAGAAGTAGGGTTAATTTATTTTGAATGAGGACAAGGAATCCAGCATAATATTTTTTGAGCCTTTGAAGAGCCATGTCATGTTTCTTTTCACTCCATGCATTCTCTTGGCTTCAAGCACCACTGGCATGTGTGTGAGTCATAAGTCCACATTCCTCTTGTGGGTACCATTGGCTGGATAGCCGTCTTCATCTCCCATGGTAATAGCAAACTCAACGTGATTTTTCTGTCTTAGGCTGAGTTTTCCAGAAAGTAGAGCCTGAGACAAAGACTTACGTATTGCCTTAGTCATGGTTCTCCAGAGAACAGAACCAAAAGGATGTGTGTGTGTGTGTGTAAATAAATACAGCATTTATTGTAAGGAATTGGTGCATGCAATTATGGAGACCGGCAAGTCCAGAATCTGTAGAATGGGTTGCCAGGCTGAAGACCCAAGCAGAGTTGATGCCACAGCTTAAGTCTGACTTCTATCTGCTGCGTAATTCTTTTATGCTTTGGGAAGGGCCGTCTCTTCTTGTATTTAGGCCTTCCACCAATTAGGTGAGCCCCATCCACATTACGGAAGGCAGTCTTCTTCACTCAAATCCACTGGCTTTACTGTGAATCTTATTTAAGAAATACCCTCACAGAAACATCCAGAATAATGTCTGACCACAGGTCTGGGCACCATGACCCAGCCAAGTTGACACATAATATTAATCTTCACATATGCGAATAGCTCATGTGGGAAAGTGATCCCAAGGAGAAGTGAGGGAAAAGGAGCAGGAAACAAGGACGTGGAGAGATCCAGAACACAGATGAATTCCCATGTGGATCACGGGCAACTGGCTGATCCAGCAGCTGGGTTGGGGAAGCACTTTTACAGATCTCAGCCTCTGCTGGTTACCTTGAAAGCAGAAATCATGTCCGGTCGTCTCCTGACATGCATGTCACAGAAGGCTCAGCTTGGACCAAAATAGGTGCTCAGGAGGATATGTACAGATGCGGTGCAGAAGGGACTATGCTTTGAACCTTCGTGGAAGGACCTCCTACCTGATACCCTGATGCAGAAGGCTGGGGAATCATCATTTTATGTCCTCTGGCTGAGTTTCAGAATAGGCAAGGGCCTTGGTTACCTGGATCGTGTTAGGGATAGACCTGGCTCAACAAAGAGGGGTTGGGGAGAATCCATGTGCCTCAGTGGAGGCCCCCTTTTTTTTATGTTGAGGGCCTTAAGAAGCCCAAGTGTAGGTTAAGCAGAAGCTGAGTTCTTGAGGTCTATCCAGAGGAGGTTAAGTTTTGGCCCGTTTGTTTCCGGAAGAGCCAGTGCTTCTAGGTTCTGAAGATTTGTTCCCTAATCTCTGCTTACAGGACTCCAAGTGGCTGGAGTCTGCATGAAAGGGGCCTTTGTCTGATATGGGAATGGCTTTGGGGGATAATCTCTCCTTGGATGCGTTTTAATTTATTTTAGTGACTGCCTCCTGTCAGGCTTTTCTTCTGTGAGGGGGTTTGTTAAAGAGATTAGGAGGAGTGAACCTGAGCCCCTGAGCCTTGCCTTCCTCTGAGGTTGCTGTTACAGGAAAAATAGTGTTCTGCAAAATGTATTAGAATGCTCTGGGAGTGAGTGGGGAAGGAGCAGAGTGGAGAGCAGGAAAAATAGATAGCTAATAAACACACTCAGTATAAGCACTCTGCATGTACTTACACAGAGCTCACTCACCAGCCTTCTGCAGTTCCCCCCAGCCCCTACCACCAGTGGTGGGAGTCAAAGCAGACAAGACAGAATGATGTCATCCCCAGGACATTGTCCTTTCTCTCGTCCCTCTCTCCCTTGTCTCTAGTTTTGTATAAACACAGCTGTTTGTGAGGAATGCTGGCTTGGGAAAACATAAACTGTCTGCATTAATGACCTTCCTGCCAAACACCCCTTCCTACTGAACGTGGGAGACTGGAATGCTTTCAGCCCAGCAGGCTGATAGTCTTCATGTCTGCAACACCTGGTTTTTCAGCTTTCTGCTTGGGCCTGGGGTGACCAGACTCAGAGACTGTGCAAAGCCCGACAGGCTGGACAGAAGTTCACCGGCGCACTGGTTGCAGGTGATACTTAGACCACCTGTGGAAGATTCCTAGGGGACTGCAGAGAGGAGAGGAGGGTGTCTCTTTTCCAGGCTTGGGGAATTTAGGGTGGATGTTGGAGGGATAGAAGAGATCCACAGTAGATACAGGTGCTGTCTGATATGCCAACTTTGCCCACTGGGAAGCCAAGGGGGAAGAAAATAGCAATGGGGCCAATAGCTTTGGGCCTCTACTTAGTGTCAAACTATTGAACGGGGCATTAGGGACAACCCCACCCTCATCATAGCAACTCACCCCAGCTTCTGGTACGTTTACAGTCACCATTTGGGACCAAAAGCCTTTCATCCTTTCAAAGAGTAGGATGCAGGGGTGGCTAAAGGGAGAACCCAAGCTTGAACTCATGCAGTCCAGTTTCTTTTGAAATCCCAAAGTACTGTGGTCCATAGTAATTTACTGACGGTGGTTTTACATTTCCAGATGAAGACCTCAGGGCCTTGGAGGTTAGGATGGTTTTTATTCAAGCTACTGAACTGGCATTTTGGCTGAGAACATGTTTGCTTCCTGGCCCCTTGCCCCCAGCCCAGTCTACTAAATCTCTCTCTGTGCCCTACTCTCTCACGTGGTTTTGTGACCACAGCCGCAAAGAAGTAATGAGTGCTTGCTGGGCCTCCCTTTCCAAGGGTCAGGCACCTTAGATGGGTCCCAGGACAGCTGTCATTGTGGAATGAATGTGATTCAGTGCTAGAGAGGTGGGGTGGATGAGGAGCTAACAATCTTCTGGAGTGTCCTCTTGGGTTTCCATGGGGAAAGAAGACAAGTCTTCGCCCTTGTTTCCATGCTAAGTAGAAATCACAGAGGCATACCACTGGGCTACTGGTTACCTCTCTACAAGTTGCCAAGAAATATGTACATCTGTAACCCACATGTACTGACTTCCTGCTGTGTGTTGGGCAGGGTGCTAAGATGCTTTGCATCTGTTCCAATTTTATCTTTGCA